TCCAGGAGGGCTCTGCAGTCCCACTCACACGTGGAACACTGAGCAGGGCTAACAGGGAGCTCCTCCAGGGCCCCCAGAGTCAGAGTAAATCCATTTGTCACAAGTATTAGCAATTAAACCTTCCCACTGCCTTCACATCAAGTCCTGTATTTGGGCTGAATAACTGCCCTTTGCTCTATCCTTGGATTCAATCACAGGGTAAGGTGTTTAATGACCAATAATGACTGAATGAGATGTGATGGGAACATCCCCAAAGAGAGAATTTACAGCTGCTCCTGGCAATTAAAAACACTGGACCACATTAATGTCAGAGAACATGGCAGAAGCAAGGCAGAAACCTCACCCCTGTACCAGCCCCCATCCATTCATCACCACTGGGAAATAACCAAAGTGTTCTCAGGATATTTACAAATTACAAAGCTTGCTGAGGTTTGCAATTGACAAATTTACAGCCACCATAATAAACAGGGCCAAGAGTTAAAACAAACAAGGGATTTTATAAAAGCAACAGAGCTGATGTTCATTTTCCTTGTCCTTTGGTATCTAAACTTTTCAAGAACATTGACATGTTTTCAAACTTTTCTTCACACCCCAAAATATTGACATACATGGTGGATTTCTTAACTGAAAGCTAAGAATTTCAGGAAAGCCTTGAATTTTTACAGCTGGTGCTTTCAGAGAGGCATAAAATCTCATGACACCCCTGATAACCATGTCAGGGTTTGCCTTTGGCACAACTTTCATTTCTGAGCACCGTACAAAACTGCTTGAGAGTAGAAAAGCAGTAATTAGGATTATAGGCCAAAGTTTGCATCTTAATGCTACTTTACATGTTTGCTGCCTAATCTGCCCTGTGCTGGGGTGTGTCCTGCACTCATGTGCAGCTCCTGAAAGCAGGAATTTACAATTCTGGATAAAACCTGCAGCCATCAATGCTCAGCACGAGCAGGGCTGATGCTTCCCCTTCACTGGCACCCCACACTCTGCCCTGCCCCTTTACTGCCAGAAATGTGTTCAGGCAGCAGGGACAGCAGAGAAACTCAACATCCAAACAATTCCTCATGGCTGTGAGTGACTCTTCTCTCAAAGGCTCCCAAACACACCAAGCCATGGCTGGTTGAACCCCATGGGGCAGGATGAAGGAAACCCCAGTGAGGAGCTGTGGGCAGGGCTGGCCAAACCCCCTGAGCCCTGGGGCTGCTCCCAGCCCTCCTTTCTGCCTCCCCAGCCTTTTTTCCCAGGTGCTGGAAAGTGCAGGCCAAAGGGGAAGCAACACAAACAGCAAATGCTGCCCCTAAAGCTCCCTCAGGCAGGGGCTGCTGCCTTTCAGGGATATTTTCATTCCTTGGCATCAGCTGGGATACAGATGGCTGTGCAGTTACTCACTGCAGAACTAGGTCAGCACTGATATCAAGGAAAAATAAAAACCCTGGGGTTTAGCCACCAAAACCATCCAAGTAACAGCAGCCTAATGGACAGAATAATATCCCTGAGAGATCTCATCAACCCCACTCTTCACAGATGGGGCTGCCCTGCCTAGGGACCACACCAGGACAGAGGACTAAGGCTGTGTCATTACCAGCACAAATTCATTATTTTTTCACTAGAATCCAATAATTCCTCCAGGACTTAATCCTTTTGCATGACCTTATAATAGTACATAACACACTTTTTTTTTTTTTTTACACTGCCTATTATCAAGTTAATTTGTAATAGTTTATAGAAGAAAGCTTGACAAAGTCACTGCTATTGTTCTAAGTCATCCTGATGTTCCATGGGTCAAAGACAGGTCCCTGTGTTCCTGCAGTCCCTGGTTTATACAAAATGTTCTGCAGCCAAAGCAGTTTAGGGGAGTTTCCTCTCCTCATGCTTCTTCCAAGGCTGGTTTCCCAGTTCTCAGCACTACAAGCAGTTTCAAGGAACAGGATTTTGGCTGCAGCATGGAGCAGGAGGAAGCAGCTGTGTGCTGGGGAAAGCACACTTGCAAAAACTGCCTTAAATTGACATGGCTTCTTTTAGTCATGCAAATCTTCACTAGGAGTTTGGACTGAGCAAGGTTACAGGATTTGTCCCTGCTGAAATATTTAAGAGCAGATTTTTAGATGGGAATAATCAAATCATATCTGGAAGGCTCATTAGAAAAGTAAACAAATATTTAGCCAACCCAATTTTGTTTTTCCATGTGAAACCATGTTGTGAGCACATTTAAATACTACACCAGCAGTGTCTGGGCTCTCTGAACCCATAGGAAAACCTTCAGAGAATATCCTGTCACACAGCATGGGACATTTCCCTTTCTGATTCAAGGGGCTCTGCCAGCCTGGATAAGTGGTTTTAATTAATTTCACAGTTTTATATTTTTTTCTCAAAGCAGCTGAACTTCATTTTGTATGGTTTACAGATCACCAGTGATCCCTGGGCCTCAGAACAGAATCTGCTCAACCATTTCAATGGAAATGAGCCCAAGCTGCTGCTGGAAGGAGGGAGATTGCCCTGACCCCTTCTCTCCCCTTCCTCCACAGCAGCCCTGCTGCAGCTCTAGAACTTGGACTCTGCTGAGCTGGTTCAGTTTGCTGATCTGGCAGAAGCTGACCAGGGCTTTTATTTTGTTTCCTGATGGGTTATTGAGCTGAAAGAGTTATCAGAGGAATTGGGTGAATCCTGAGTCAATGTCAGGAGAAAGGAGAGAGAAGAGAGAGGAGAATGCTGCTGAGCTTCCTCCAGTGTGAAAAGGAGTGTGGGCATGAAACATGAAAAGCATCAGGGCCTGTCCCTCCAGCCTGGGACCCCTGAGCTCATTGCAGAGGAATGTACCTGGAACACAGATGTGTGTACAGAACTCCACCATCAAACAGAGATTCACCAGAAATCTGCACTCAGTCTGGTATTGATTCCACACAGATTAATGGCAAAACTCTTTTCTTTAAAAGAAAGAGCCTTCAAAAAAGAATCAGGGCATTTTGCTCAGGGAATGTGTCATTCCTCAGAAGCTGGATGCTCTCATTTTTCCAGGTATTTATAAAATCAGAATTTAAACACCACTTGTCACTCCATTAAAAAGAATATGTTCAGGAGTTTCACTTGCAGACAGGTGTTAAAAGAGCAGCACAATGTGCAAATAAACAGCTCCCACAGGAAGGGGGATCTGTTTGTTTCCTTAAACCCTGTAAAATGCCAGAGAAATAAGAAAAAAGGAACATGATGGCTCCCCTGGGGCAGGGGTGCAGCTGAAGAGCAGCAGTGCCAGCTGTGCCTGCTTTTGTCCTCATGCACTTGCTGCTCTCCCTGCAATCAATTCCCAGGGCTCCTGGCAGGCTGGCACTGCAGCCACACAGCAAGGCAGCAGCTGGGTCTTTGCTGTCCCTCACAACACTCCAGCACAGGGGGGCTTTGTTACAGGAGGCTGAATAGATCCTGTGGGCATTGGATGCCAAAGAAAAAGGAGCATTGCACGATGAAGTTCCAGAGGCAGAGCAGGGCAGCTCTGCCATGGTCCCAGAAAAACCAAGGTACAACAGTGAAACCACAACCCAGCAGGGGGGGAGGGCTTAGAGCAAAAATTACCAGGGACAACAGAGATACAGAACATGAAGGTCTGGCTTTTGAGGACAGACTAATTTAGAATAATGACTGACAAACAGGTATTGCTTTCTCATGTGCTTTTGTTTTCTGCAGTGGAGCTTTTAAATGTCAGACCCAGCAGGATCTGATCTGTGTCTCTGCAATGAGGACTCCTCCTTCCTGGAAGTGCTCAAGGCCAAGGATGGACAAAGCTTGGAGCAACCTGGTCCAGTGGGAGGTGTCCCTGCTCAGGGCAGGCTGGCTGAGTTAGGCATCTTTAAGGTCCCTTCCAACCCAAACCATCCTGGGATTCTACCAATGCAGCTTTTCAAAAAATAAATCAGGCTGTCTCCCAGTGAGCAACTTGAGCACATATTTCCACAAGTAAAAGCAATATTATTCTAGTAATCAAACAGTAAAAAAGAGTCTCAGAGGGCTCCAAGCAAACCTGGCTCATTAATAACAAAACATTCAGATGTGATAAGAGTTAGTTTGGCCAGGAGTCTGGAAATGCCAGTTAATCATTTAAATTCTGGAGTTTCCCTGAACTTCAGAAGGCATTGGGATCACAGAATGATATCAAAGCCATTTTACACTTAATATTTTAAGAAGCACATATTTTCTTTTCTATGAAACATTCTTGCTAAGAAGAACCTTATTCTGCAAGCCGTGCACAATGGAAATTTCCAAGCAACTTTTGCAAGAATTTTCACTATAGGAAAAAACTCGGGAACAAATTTCAAGATGCTTTTCATGTGGTAAAGTTGCAACAAGCTCTTAACAGAAAACAGGAAGCACACAAGGTGTCAGTTCTGAAAGTCCTATGAGGGGATATACAAGATGCTACAACTGATCTCTGCTTTTCAAATTTGATTTTAAATACATTAGAAGAAGCAATTTTCCTAGATACACCATGTGAAATTCTATTAGTTTAATCTAATGATGACAATTGACTTACAAACCTGGAAGAGGTTTCCTTTTTATTTAATATGTGAAAATTCATTGTCCCATTTTGTTGTATATAATTTAGGCAAAATTACTTGCAACGTATATATATTGATATATATAAAGGTGCTTTGACCTCAATGCCTCTCAGACCCAGAACTGAGGAAAGCTCCTCAATGGGTATATTTGGGGCTCCACTGCTGTTTACCCATTTTCATGCAGTAAGTTAAGGGCAAAGGGAGCAAGTTGTTTATTTCCAGTTCCCTGCTCACTGACCAGAGCAGATTTCCCATGTTAGATAACTGTGTGTGCCCCAGGCAGCTTTGTGGGCACTGCCAGGGTCACTTTGGGTTATGGTCACAGATTAATCCCAAGAGACCTGAGCAGAGCAGGAAAAAGCTCAAATTCCATTGCTGTGGTAGAAGAGATCCTCCTGAGCCCCCCCAAGCCCCCTGAGGCAATTCCAAAGCAATCCCACAGCCCATGCTGCTTACCAGGGATGGAGGTGTCTCCTCTGTGCTGGGGAAAGGAGAGCAGCTGGTGCCCAAGGAAGGGCAGGGAGGCACTGGCACATCCCAGAGTCACTCACATCCATGCACTCCTGAGCTTCACTCTGTTTCTGCCTCTCTTGGATCTCTGGGGCTCTTCAGCCCTTGCTGGGAAATGCCACGTGGCAGAAATATTAACTGAGCTTCCCAAGGAACAGATGCTGCTTACAGAGTCAGAGTCTCCAGTAAATCAACTTGCAGTCAAGGGTTTGTAGGGAATTCTCATAAGATTGGAACTGGAAGCTCAAAATTTTGCACAAGTAGAAGCATGAGAGACATGAACCTTGTCAGCCAAGATCTGCCTGGAACTGCTTTTTGGCATTGTCCCATCACACACATCTTCAGTTTGACAAATGAATCAGTTAAGCAAGAATTGCTTCAAATCATATCAAAAATCCCTCTTCCAGCTTATCTACAAAATCCCTTGAAAGTACAGGATTTTGTTTTTGTGCCAATTCTCCCCCCAAATTAACCCCTTTACTCCCAAGGTATTCAAACCCATCAAAGAATGACCAAAGTGTGCATGGGAGGCAGGGTAACCAGCAGCCAGTAACTTGGCAAGGGCTGCCCACACTCCTGAAAGGGGGACACCTTTTTTTAGGTGCTTAACTCCTGCTGAGGCCTCCCAGCAGCACTGGAGGCAGCTAAAGCAGCAAACACCACGAGCACAGAACCCTTACCCCTCTGATCTTACCATTAAATCATCTTGGAGCATCCACGAATGGCCTCCAGCAGCAGGGAGAGGTGAAGGAGCAGGGAGGCAGAGAGAGGAGCAAACTGCACACCTGCCACAAGAACAACCACAAACGCTCTACAGGCTCTCAGATTGTCACAAAACTCACCTCAAAAAAGTATTTTATTATCTAAACCATTTGTTTCTCAACCCATGGAAAGGTTGTTGACAATCTAAAAGTTAGTATTTATCATTTTATGTTAGTAACTTTTTTCCATATAAAAACTCCTTGCTGATTTATATTGATTATCATAAAAATTATTAGCATGAAACATTTGCTTCCAAGCAGGACTGGTATTTTAGTAGCCCAATGCATAATTACTTCTGGGCAGGCAAAGAGCAAAATGGTATTTTTAATTTCTGACCATACTCCTCCCTGTTCTTGGAGAAGCCTGTATAGTAACTGGGGCAAGTGCAAAAAGCTCATGATCCAAGAAATAATCTTCCATAGTTCTGTGCATGAAATGCTGCACCCAGAATAAACTCCCAAAGAGGAGAAAGGCCATTTCATATTCTTGATGAAAACCAGACAGGTCTGTTTATTCCTGGAAGGTTCTGAGTGTATCAGCATTGCTTCACATTTCCTGCCATTTATTCTGACAAATGTTTAATCCATCTGACTGGAGTATTCCAGCTGGAAATGCATGCATGAGGTTTTTTTAAATATTAAGTTTTTAAAAAAAGTGTTGCAGCTGTTTAAGAACAAGTCTCAGGGTAACACACTGTCCTCTCAAGGTTAAAATAAATAACCTGCCAACCCTTTAAAGGAGCTCTCTTTCTTTACAGTCCAGACTAAAAATGTGGCAAGGATCAACTACTGCCCCAGGTACTTGGGATTGACTCATTGGTGAAACCTAAGTATCCTAAATTTAGGACTGAATTTTAATCCCTGACCAATCACTTCACATAAATTCAGTAAAGACTCGATGTATTAACGTTCCCATGCACTGAATCGACAAAGTTAGTCTTGAAATTTCCTTTGTGTTATTTCTGAATTACCTCCTTTATAAAGTCTTTCAAAAACAGTTTAAGCCTCAACAGAAGTAATTCCCAAGTCTTCCAACTCTGAAGTCATGCTGTGCAGTTTTTCACCCAGTTCTTCAACTTTAATCAGTTAAAAGGGGAAAACTCCCAGTTTAAGGACTGACATTGCCAAACCAAAGCAGATGCTGCTTCAGGTTCTCACAGGGGATTAGAGCTGACACTTGGTGTCACACCATGGAACAGGACACTGTTACCAAAAGGAAACCCAAGAACACAGATCTTTACAACTGAAATTTCTGTAAAAATATATCTGAAGAAACAATTGGAATTTAAAAGCTCTACAGTCAGCTTCTTTCAACCCTTTCATTTAAAAGGCTAGACAGCACTTAAGATCTTTATCTTGATTTAACCAGAACAAAGCAATTAACTTTTACATTTCCAAAGTACTTACTGCAAAGTGATCAAGAAACTATGTATTTTTTAGTCACAATACAGGATTTACAAGCAAGAAGCTCTAGTAGTAGTTGTGCCAAATTTTGTCAACAATTTTTGTTCTATATTGACACCTGCTGACCATTTCTTCTGACTAGTCAGTTTTATTGTATCACAACTTTATGCATTAGTTAGCCAAATATATAAATATATACACACTAGTTGGCCAAATAAACCTAGGATTTCAGTCAGATCTCCTTCAAGATCTTACAGAGTGGGTGAATTTATTTAATCTATACATATACATTTATTTAATCTATACATATATGTGTATACATATGTGTGTATATGTGCCTGTATTTGTATACATACACACACATTTACAGAACTCCAGTAAGAACTAGACTGCTCATGTCTGCTGAAAGAAGCTTTCGCAAATTTCTTCAGAGCACAGAAAGGTTTCTGCCATTTTAGACAGGTGCAAGGGAATCAAGTGTCTACAGAGAGTTGTAAACAACTGGAAAAAGTCTCCTGTACTGGAATGGTGCCTCCTGAGACTACTGCCCAAGGAAAGAGGCCATGGGGTCATCAGGTCTCTGCCTTTTCATTCTGTAAGCCTCCATCTCCTCTTCTGTTGGCTCCCTGGTTTCATACTGGCTGTTGTATGGCCTCTTCCTCTCATCTAACTGCATGATTTCTTTGATGTGGAGAAGTCGAGCCTCTTCAGCATTTAGAGCCTGAAATGAGAGCAAAGGGAATCAAAAATTGCATAGTGAAACTTAGACTAAAAACCCAACAATGAAGGTTTGTCTTAGATTCCTGTATGATGGACAAGGGGCAAGAACAAGGGTGGGATAAGCAATGCACATCTGTCTGGCCCACCCACTGCACATTTCACTTAATGCTTATTTTTAAGTGTTTTAACATAAAATGATGGTAAAATGCTATTTAGTAAACAAGACACTATAATCTCTTTCCAAATGTCAAAATCAAGTAAGAAACTCCCAGGATTTACCTAAAATATTATCGTGATCTAGCAAGTACAACTGAATTGTTCATTATTTTTTGTTATATGTTTGGGGTTTTAATTTTTAAGTGCTATGTGCTATCTCATTCCTCAAACTACTACTGTTGCTACTGGCAAAGAAGCTGCATTTGTACTCTGCTTTAATTAAGCACAGTTTAACTGGTTTCCTTTGAGAGCAGCCCAGAGCAGGCTGCTGTGGCCACAGGAGCACACTGCTGCCCAGTGGATGGGGCATGGATTTGTTACATCAGCTGAGAGACTGGACCAAGCCTGGGATACAAAGTGCTAAGTTCAGATTTAACACTGCTTTGATCTCTCCATCTTTCTTCAACACACAAATCATTGTGTTCTGCAATGTCTTTTATAGATCTACAGGTGTAATAGGTGATTAGACATGAAACAGTCTAAGTCATCTAAATCAAGTCTTTAAAACTAAATATTTATTGAAGCTTTACCTGAGGAATAGGGGATGGACTTTAGAACACCTAACAGCATTTTAAATTTAATTTAGCTCAAAATTAGCATCAAACTGCCCCATGGTATATCACCAGAACAACATTACAGGCTTCATAAAACTGATACTGTAAAATATGTCACGTTCCTTTTGCCACAAAGCCACTGAAGATTTATAATGCACCTTTTTTAGTTTTTCTTGCTTCTTTTTCTCTTCACCCTCACTGTCAGAATTTGAGCTCTTCTTGTGCTTCTTCTTTTTCTTCTCTTTCTGTTTCTCTTGGTGGATCTGTAAGGTGGGAAACAAGTCAATGTTAAGATTCAACTTGCCAACATTAATAATGCCCAAATCATTAAATCCAAACTTCCATTAATGGTATTTGAGAGCCTAGTTTTCAATGGAGATGTTAATGCTCTATTAATGCAGTCTAGTAATTTTCAGCATCCCAGAATTCCCACTTCTTCCTGGTCAAACCACCACATTATTCTACAGAATTTTGTAGATAAAATGTTGAGAAGTGTCTGTCTTCCTGAGAAAGGGATAATTCCTACCTCCATCAGTGTTTTGGGTTTTGTCATGTGCTCTGCCTCCTCAGGCTGCTCCTCCATTAAACTTGCCTCTGTATTCTGTACAACAGACAAGAACCAGGATACCCTGTTACTGACCACATCTGAAAGGGGAAGGACAAAAAAAAAAATCCCAGAAATCCCTAAAAAACCAACCTCTGTCAACAAGCAAAACAGTCTAAACCTTAAGTAAGAATATGAATGCTTTTTGGCTCTTTCCACATGAATAAACAAGAGAATACTTACAGCAATTTCCTTCCCAGCTTCTCCTGTACAGTAGGAGTACTTGACAAAGGAGTGGCAGCACTTGTAACCCCACTTGCCTTCCTTCCAGTATGAGCCCCAAATGCACTGCAGGAGAACACAGCACACAGTTACTCCTGAAAGAGGCAGGCTGAAATTTCCTCCTGAGCTGATGCCCTGGTAAGCAAATTACTCAGACATCCAAAAGGAAACTAAGAGAAATACTTTTGCTATTTTACATGAACCTTACAGGTACACTGTCAAAAAAGACAATCACAACAGGATGTGGTCAACCTATATTCAAAGTGAAAGGTGAAAAGAGTAACTTCTCCTTTAGTTCAAGACTGCCATGGCAACTCCTCAAATTCACATCACAACTATAATTTGAAGTTTCTCCTTAACAGAAAAGGGAGAGTGTCACATTAACCCAGGAGAAATATATTTCATGTATTAATTAGACTGTACTGCATCCTAATATACCTCCAATGGGATGGCATTTAATTTTAAAAAATTTTAAACACAACCTAGGACTTACTGTATGGTTGTTGATCTTCACATCCTCTTCATACTTAGAACAAGCAATAGCTTTCTCCTGTCCTTTGATGACTGTTCCATGCCTAGAATACTCCACATAATCTTCTGTTTGAGCCAACAGAAGTTCAGCTGGGGGAGCATCTAAATGTTCTTGTCCTCCATACTAAAATGCAAACAAAAATGGCATACAATAGTTTTGGAAAAAAACCCCACCTTTTATATAGTTAAGCAAACATTTCAAAACAGCACCTTTGGTACCTTGTCAAGAAGGCACAAAAGTGACAAAGACAGTTTAATCTTTAGTGAAGAGTTAAGACAGAAATACATCATCTCCTATGGCCACTGGGGTGTCTTTTGGTGTTTAGTTTTGTGGGGTTCTTTGTGCATGTGTTTTTTTGTTGTGTTGTGTTGTTTGTTTTTGTTTTGTTTATGCTTGTAGAATGACAACAGTGATATTCCTCCCTCAAAGCAGATTTAGAGACCAAGCCAAAGACCAGCTTGGGTAGGAGCAGAGCAATACTTCCTGCCCCCCTCCAAACTTGAATGTTGACACAGTTAGAATCCAAATGGATTATTTAGTTCTTTTTCAGCTGTCCAAGACATAAGTTGCAAAATATAAAAGAAGTATTTATCTAAAACACTGTATTCAAAATTTGAGTCAGAAAGAAATTCAGATTTCTTCCGTGCAGAAATTCTGACAGTTTAGGGAAGAGCTCCCAATAATGTAAATACCAGCATACCTTCAAAGGTCCCAATACTAAATTAAATTCATCACTTGATGAGATAGTGTGTATAAATATAAAAATATTTTAAGTCTAAGCTGCTGAGAACAGCTGATGCCCTCTCACATAGGACTAGTAATCTTACTTGTTCCCCAAGACCCAGACTTCAAACAGAATTCCTATTAAATAAACCAAAATGCCTGTTACCTTCTCCAGGATGCTTTCTTTCTGCTGTGCCTTGAAATCTTCTTTTTTCACTTTGAAAGATTTATAGAGGAGTTCTAATTTTGTAGGATCTGCTTGAAGATGAACTTCAGAGCCTTTGTCATAAGCCTCCCAGGCAAACACTGCATACACAAAAGGTTCCATTCAATACTTTAAAACTGACACACATTCAAATTACATCCTTTAATTCTAAAGCAATTTCAAATAAGGCTCAGTTTATAAAGATTTACTTATTTCTCTTTTGCAAGAAAGCAGCATTGTTAAGGATTTTAAGTGAATTTCCTTCAGAAACCCCAAGCCCAAAGCCCACTTACGCTGGGTCTGTGCCATGGAAATGGTGTCGCCCGTGTAGCGAACGAAGTTGTCACCTGCATACCCAACTCTGCAGAAAAGAACACAACTCTTAGCATTTGTAACTTGATTTCCTCTCAAATACAAACACAGAAGTGCAACAGGCAAGTAAAAATGCTCTTGTGCACCAAGAGTTAAGAACAGAAGGAGAAAGACGTGCATTCAACTTGATATATGAAACAAAAACCTGCAACAAACAGGAAGCAAAAATGCTCCCTGCAAAGCCATGAGAGCATGAGGCAGCCACTCAAAACCTCTGATTTCTGTGTTCAAGGGCCACATGACACAGCC